GGGAGTAACGCAAGGTCCGTTCGATACAAATACCCTGTACCGTACGAAGGTTTGAGAACTATCAAGTCAAGATGGTTCGTGATCAAACAGAGAGAAGGGAGAGTGGCGAAGTTCGCTATCCTTCCTTGAGCAACCGGAGACGGAGCCTAGACGAAGCCCCTCCTACGGATCAAGACGCCCTGCGCGCATTGATCGAACACGCAGAGAGAGCGACGGATGATCCATCGGCTCTTCCAGCCTTCATGGCACTGGTCAACGAGAATCAGACACACGCAGCGGCGTTTGTACTAACATTGGCAGCTGTCTACGAGGAAGAGAAAGCCCTCCGTCTGGAGAAGGAGGCTGAGCATCGAGAAGTCCTCCAGGAGAAGGAAACTTGGGAAGAAAGATACCAAGACCTTGACGGAGGCACCAGCATCGAGATTGAGGCTCTGAAGGATCGACTCCGTGACAAGGAGGAGATCATTCAGAACCTCCGCGACAAGATTACCGTGATACCAAAGCCGCAAGTTCGGGTGGAGTCTCCTTCAGAAACCCCGACAGAACGAGAATCGCCGCCTTAAAGGCAAGTCTCGTTAGAAGCAACTCCAAGCCCTTCGATAATGCTTGGCCCGAAAACTGAGAAGCTGCCTTATCCAGAGGTCTTTGAGGATGGATCTCCTCAGAAGTTTCGCTCTTGGTTGTCAGCCATGAAGATGAAGTTCATGGTTAACGCGGCGCTCTTTCCGACAGAGCTATCCAAGGTCGCCTATGTATAATCACGCACAGGCGGCGACGCTCGGGAATTGCTTAGGTCATATTTCGAGGACTTCAAGAAGGCTCAGATTTCTGATATATTCGCGGACCTTTCAACTCGATTCGATTCTCTGTTTCGACAAGAGACTGCTTGTAAGGAGTATCACTACTTACAGCAAGGGCAGCAGGACCTCGCTGCATTCTTAGAGGATTTCCGACGGCTTTCTCGTGAAGCAGAGGTCTGAGAAGAGGATCAGATCGTGGACCTTCGAGACAAGGTTCGAGATGATCTGAAGCAAGTGATCATTCTCCGCAGATATGCGTCAATTCAGGAGATGATTACAGACCTGATATACGCCGACATGAACGGTCGACGTATTGCCTCAAACAAACCAGCAGCTAGCGCCAGCACGCCGGCGAAACCTTCGGTTCTTAGCACCCGTTAATCTGCTAGCGAATCAACAGCGAAGGAGGATCGGCTAGTGGCTAAGCCACGACTTCTGAGAGATGTGTCTACAGTAAGGTGCTATCATTACAAGAAACTAGGACACTACATAAAGGATTGCCCTCAGGCACAAGAGCAATCGGGAAAAGAGCTGCCTGCTACTAAGACGTTGTAAGCAGGCCTAGCAATGCAACTAATAGAGAAGCTATAGGGATCCCCGTCGCAGTAGCAGAGGGTGATTTCGAGGCTTTATTTCTGGTTGACGTTAACGTTAGAAGGGGAAGAGAAAGATTAATAGTATTAGCACTATTAGATATAGGATGTCAGTTAAGTGCAGTTATAGACTATTAATTAGCAGAACAACTTTATAAAAGATTACAAATTAATATAATAGACCTGGCTAAATCTATTCCTATCTCTGATTTTGCTAATAAAATCTATTAATCTATCTCTTAGGCCCTCTATTTGCTTATACACATTAGCGAACACTAGTAGGGATCGCAGATCTTCTATATAACGAAGGCTGCGTACTCTATAATCTTAAGGAAGAAATAGATAAGGCTATATAGCTATATTCCAGATCCTAAGGATTTGTCAGTAAAGTTTGCAAAGGATTGTGATTGTGAAGAGCAACTTATATTCTAGCAGAACTGCAAGAGTCAGAATAACAAGCCTAAGGCTAAGGAGTAAGCAGCAGAGGAAGAGCTGATAAAGAAGCTATGTAACGAATTTGGCTATATATATACAGCCAAATTCCAGACTAACCTGATTAGGACATTACTACTACAGGTGACAAAGATTCTTAAGCGTCCTGAGATAGCCCCAGCTATTTCGCAACCTCTACGCCCTGTTAAGGTAAAGAAGACTCTGGGTAGCAGGACAACCACAGCTACCACCTACAGAAGGAAGGTCAAAAAGGCCAGGGCAGCCCAGCACAGCACTAAGCCTATGAGCATTACAGCATTCGAGCGATTATCAACCACCTCTGGTGCAGAAATGTTCGCTATCACAATAAAGGACATAAATGAACATGTTAAGAAACAGATCTAGCCAGAACCAGACCTGAAGGAGGTTCTTCTAGTGGAATTTTGAGAATTCGCAGATGTCTTCTCGAAGGAGGCTTCTGATACTCTTCTAGAGCACAGGGAGGAGTACAACTATAAGATCGAACTGGAAGCAGGTGCTGAGCTGCTACAGACGCAGCCCCTGCGTAGGATGAGCCTAGAGGAGCTCAAGGTGGTCAAGAAATACATCAAGGAGCATCTTGAGAAGGGGTTTATTGAACCAAGCACTGCCTTGTTCGCATCGCTAATTCTTCTAGTACGGAAACCCTAAGGGGGACTCTGTTTCTATATCGATTTTAGGGATCTGAACGCTATTACCAAGAAGAATAGCTATGCTATCCCTTGGATCAATAAGACTATAAGTCTTCTTAGAAAAGCTATGGTCTTCTCTAAGCTGGATATTCGATAGGCATATTACCAGATTTGTTTAGCGACTAAGAAGGACTACGAACTTACTACGTTTAGCACTGCGTATAGCAACTACTAATATAGGGTATTACTATTCGGATTGACCTTTACGCTAGCGATGTTCTAATACTTTATGAATGAGAAATTTATAAAAGTGCTCAGAAAATTCGTGTTGTGCTGTACCTAGACGACATCTTAATCTTTAGCTAATTAAGAGAAGAACACGAGCAACACGTACAGGAAGTCTTACAGATTCTCTACAAAAGTGATATTCAGGCTGACATTAAGAAATGCGAGTTCTATACGTAATTAGTGAAATATCTCGGTTTGATCGTGACTTCAGAGGGCATTCGGATGGATCCAGAGCGCGTGTATGAGTCGTTCAGGAGTGGGAGAAACCCAAGCCAGGAGATATCTGCGCGGTGCGGAGATTCCTAGGGTTTGTCAACTTCTATCGACGATTCTGCTTAGGATTTAGCAAGGTAGTAAGGCCGCTAAATGACTTATTAAAGAAGGATGTAAGGCGTATTTGGGATGACTGTTGTACAGAGGCATTCTAGGCGCTAAAGGATCTGATTTCGAAGGAGCCAGTCCTAGCTTATTTCAATCCTGAGAAGGAGACAGTTGTGGAATACAATGCCAGCGATTATACTATTGATGGTATACTCTCGCAAAGAGGCGAAGATGAAGAACTCTATCTAGTAACATTCTTCTCAATAAGCATAGCGCCAGTAGAGCGTAATTACGCTATTTATAATAAGGAACTACTGGCTATTATTACTGTTATTAAAGAATGATTCTTCTCAATAAGCATAGCGCCAGTAGAGCGTAATTACGCTATTTATAATAAGGAACTGCTGGCTATTATTTGCTACTTTAAAGAATGGTCGCTAGAGCTACGCTCGTTAAGAGAGGATCCTGTTCAAATACTTACAGATCACAAGGCTCTAGAGTATTTTATGTCGACAAAGAAGCTAACACGTTGGCAAGCACGCTAGGCGGAGTTGTTATCTTAATACAACTTCAAGATTAGATATCGCCTAGGAGCTGCTAACGGAAAAGCTGACGCATTGACTTAAAGGGAAACTAAGATCCTAAGAGCGAAGGAGGATCCTAATCTGCATCAGACCCTTCTGTAATCAGACATGCTGTCCGAGGAGGTGAAAGACGACCTGAAGATCTCAGTAGTGCAGGCGTCGCCAGAGGAGGAAGATTTGCCGCTCTAGAAGAGGGTAGAGAAAGAGAATCAGGTTGACGAGATGTTCAACGCGATTAGGATGGAGAAACAAGTGGAGAACCTAAAGAAGAAAATATTTGGGTATAACATTCAAAATTGTAAAGACAAGAAAGGAGTGCTGTGGTACAGAGAAAAACTGGTAGTACCAGCAGCAATGGTGACGGACGTGATTCGAGAGATCCACGAGAGCAAGGAGACTGGGCACCCAGGCTGTACAAAGACAAGGAAGGCCATCGCGAGTAGTAGGTACTACATCTCGAATGGATACACGTTGGTCGGGAGATTCTTGCGGAATTGTCATGTCTGCAGGAGGACTAAACCTGTGCATTAGCTCCCTGCAGGCCTATTGCAACCTCTTCTGATTCCTGAGCGCCCCTAGCAGGATATCTTGATGGATTTCGTCACAGGATTGCTGACATCAGAAGGCTACAACGCTGTTCTAGTAGTTGTTAATCAGTTAAGCAAGGAACGCCACTATATCCCTTGCACGGCTGCAGAAGAGGGCATGACTTCAGAGGAGACAGCCAAGATGCTGTATAGGAACGTGTAGAAGCTCTATAGGCTTCCTTAAACAATTATATCTGACTAAGGGCCTTAGTTTGCTAGCGAAGTATAGAAATAATAGTGCCAAATCTTAAGAGTTAAAGCAAAGCTATTTATAGCTTATTATCCACAGACAGACAGCTAAACAAAAGTCTCTAATGCAGAGATGGAACAATACCTAAGGGCCTATGTGGATTTTGCACAAGATAATTAGAACGACCTCCTCCTAAGCGCCGAATTTGCTGCGAACGTAGCAGTGTCTGAGTCCACATAGCTATCGCTATTTATAAGCACACGCAGATATCAGCCAAGGATGAGTTTTGACGAGCCTAAGTCTGCAGAGATAGCAAGGAAACGCGTAGCCCTAGGGAAGGCTAAGAACCTGGCAAAGCCAATAGAAAAGGTTTGGAAGTGGGCACAGGGGTACTTGAAGGTCGCGCAAGAGCGACAGCAAGAGCAGGCGAACAAGCACCGCCGGGAAATCGATTTCGAAGAAGGAGACAAGGTCTGGCTATCGACAAAGAATATTAGCACGACAAGACCTTGCAAGAAGCTGGATTCGAAATGGATTA